TCACACGAGCTGATTTATTAGAATCCCACCGGGAGGATTGCCAAGGTGTGGGGCAGACGGCTATACGAATCGACATGCCTAAGAAAGGTGACAATATCCTAAAATTCGGTAACCACAAGAACCAAATGTCTGTGCCTTATATCATATACGCCGACTTTGAAGCCTTGGTCAAACCTGTTGAGGCTGTTGGGGGTACCCCCAATACTCTACCCACAGGTGAGAGCTTCACACAGAAAACACAGGAGCATGAGGCCTGTGGGTTTGGATACGTGGTCGTCCGTTGTGATGGGGAAACGAAAGCTCCGGTAGTGTACAGGTTTCTTAAGTGTTTGCGGGAGGAAGAAAAAATTATTAGGAACGCACTGTATAGAGTCGCTCCCATGCGTATGACCCAAGCCGACAGGCTAGCTCACGCCTGTAGCACTAACTGCCACGTGTGTGACTCACCACTTAACGGTGATTCGGTGAGAGATCACTGCCACATAACCGGTAAGTACAGAGGCGCCGCTCACAGCGCGTGTAACCTCAAGCTTAGAATCATCCCTAAGACAATAAACATCCCCGTGGTCTTTCACAACTTGAGAGGGTACGACTCTCACTTAATCGTGCAGGCCATCGCGAAAATCGATGGCAATATAACGTGTATCCCCAACAACATGGAGAGATACATCTCCTTCAGTTTAAACGGCCTTAGGTTCATCGACTTCGATTCAGTTCCTACTGTCGTCATTCGACAGTCTGGTCAAAACCAACGATGCCTTCCCTATTACCGATCGATACACAGACGCGAGACTAGACCCCTGCTGATGAGGAAGGGTGTGTACCCCTATGAGTACATGGATGGCTGGGCCAAGTTAGCGAGACCAGACTACCCCCATCAGAGAATTTTACAGCAATCTGACCGACTCGGAAATATCCCAAGGCGATTACTCACACGCGCTATTAGCGTATGGAATAAACTGGGTTGTAAGAATCTGGGTGACTATCACGACCTGTACTTGAGGACAGATGTACTGCTGTTAGCCGACGTGTTTGAGACGTTTAGGCGGACATGTTTCAAGCAGTATAAACTCGACCCTGCATGGTATTACACCAGCCCATGTCTGTCGTGGGATGCCTTGCTTAAAAAGACCGGAGTTAAGTTGGAATTGCTTACAGATTATGACATGCACCTATTCATTGAGAAAGGCTTGCGAGGTGGGATCTCCATGGCAACCAAACGATACGCGAAGGCAAATAATCAATACGTGAAGGGCTACGACCCGAGCAAGCCAACCAATCATATTCTCTACCTCGACGCCAACAACCTGTATGGCTGGGCCATGAGCCAGTATCTACCCACAGGGGGATTCGAATGGGTATCGTCCGAGGTCGATGTTATGAGCATCGCACCAGATTCGAACAAAGGTTATATCCTCGAGGTTGACTTGGAATACCCCAAGGCATTACACACATCACACAACAGCTACCCCCTAGCCCCCGAACGTATGAGGGTTAACCCAGACTGGATGTCTGAGTACCAACATAACTTGTTAGGTGGGCGGGTGGCAGACGTTGAAAAACTCGTGCCCAACTTAATAAATAAGACCAAGTACATCGTTCACTATCGCAACCTACAGCTGTACTTGTCGTTGGGTATGAGGCTGACCAAAATACACAGGGTGCTCGTGTTCAACCAGAGCCCATGGATGGAGCCTTACATCAGAATGAACACAGACCTCCGAAAGCTTGCCACCAGTGACTTTGAGAAAAATCTCTACAAGCTCATGAACAACTCGGTGTTTGGTAAGACTATGGAGAACCTGAGGAAACGCGTGACCGTGAAACCTGTTCGGTCGAATGAGGAAGACAAGCTCAGGAGACTGATAGCCAGTCCGGCATTCAACCTTAGCAAGATATTCACCGATGACCTAGTTGCCCTACACATGAAGAAAAGCCACATAAAATTCAACCAGCCTGTTTACGTGGGGATGAGCATCCTCGATTTATCCAAACACCTGATGTACGACTTTTACTACAACGAGCTTAAGAAACAGTACGACGACAGGTGTGAAGTGCTGTACACTGATACGGATTCCCTGCTGATGGAGATTCGAACCGAGGGCGTGTAAACGAGGACATGAAAAACACCTCGATTTAATGCGACACCAGCGACTACCCCAAGGACCATGCCATACACAGCACGGTAAATAAAAGGTCCTAGGTAAGATGAAGGGCGAGTGTGCTGGCACGCCCATAGCCAGTACATAGGGTTGAGGCCTAAGATGTACTCCATACTGAAAGCTGACAATAGTGAGATCCGGAAGGCTAAGGGTGTTAAGAAGTCACGTGGTGAAACAACACATCAAACACGCCAGATTCAAAGGAAGCCCTGTTCAAGACCGTACGTTTAGACATAAAATGAACACACTTAGAAGTGATGGGCATAAGATATCTGGACTGACTATAAACAAGGCGTCCCTGTCGCCCGATGCACAGTAAGCGTTGGATAGCTATTGATGGGATAACGCGCATGCGCATACGGGCATGAGAAAAATTGAACCAAGAACATAGATATATATATGTCACGGAACCAGAGAAAGTTTGAGGCTATTTACTATAGCCCGTGTGGGTACTGGAAAGGAGCTAGAGCTGTAGATAAGCTGGCTAAAATGGCGTGAGTACCGCCGGAGGAGGCCAAAGCGTGAAAAACAAGCCCTGTGGCAGATCTATTTACCGGCACCACGCTACGTGCCTAGAAGGAGGTTCGGTATTAACATACCTAATAGCGTTCACCAGGCAGACCTACTGTTCCTACCCATCGACAAGAGGTACAAGTATGCCTTAACCGTAGTGGACGTGGCCAGTCGCTACAAGGAAGCCGAACCCTTGACCGCAAAAGATTCTGCCCAGGTAGCCAGAGGATTGAACGATATACAAGCGCGCAGTCCGCTGGCGTGGCCAACAGAGCTGCAAGTTGATCCCGGGCGGGAGTTCATGGGTGTCATGTCACACCTGTTAGACAAACACGATACAAAGGTCAGGCGTGGCGCTGCCGGAGCTCATCGCAGCCAAGCCATAGTTGAGAGATTTAATAGGACTTTGGCTGAGCGCTTATTCGGCCATCAGTATGCGAGGGAGATGGCCAACCCGGGGAAAAGATCGACTGAATGGGTTGTGAGGTTATCCAAGGTGGTGTCGGCAATCAACCATGAAGCCACCCGTCTCACCGGCAAGAAACCGGCAGACGCTATCAAACTAAAATCAATAGTGGCAGAGTCGGCTGCTCCATTGCGTGGGAAGGAGAAACAGATACCAGATAGGGCCCTAGTGAGGTATCTATACCAGCCGGGGGAACACGAGGGGGATAGCCGTAAGCGAGCCACCGATCCTATATGGTCAGTCAAAACTTACAACATAGATAAAGTGGACATGAAAGCCGACGAGCCTAACTTGTACTACTTGAGGGATGGGCCGGGTAGAGGGTTTGTAAGAGCGGAATTATTGATCGTACCGTACGGCACAGTGTTACCTCCAGTCAACACGGCATAGTGCCCCAGGATAGACCCGTTAAACCGACATACTTCAACCATGCCCCCGGTAGCTCAGTCGGTTAAGTGGCGTGGCTAGAAGGTGTAACATTGGGCGTTCGTATCCCGCTGGCGTCCCAAACTTTTTTATAGTAGGGGTAATGGTAGCAAGAGCTAAGGGTCCGACCTAAGCCTTATCTGTGAAATAAAGCTTTGCAGAGGCTTTTGTTGGACCTGGTCCGAAACCCCCATTGTATATACTACTACTGTAGATAGAGGAATGTCATGTCTACCAGCTAACTCTTTTGCATTAGTCACTGTGTGACACACCCCTTTCACAGTCATCTTGAACCAGCTTCCTTTTTTCTTAAGCTGTCGAAGTAACAAAGTCATCTGCTACACCAGGGGAGATAACTCTTGATGTAGTAAGGTTGATTCTTAAAGGTACCATGCAACCAAAAAATCAAACATAATTAAAACACAGTTATCACTTATTCATGACATATAATATACATTGCTGGTTATGAAAAAACATATAAACAAAATTATAAGTATACAATCGCAAATCAAAAGTGCAATATTTTGTGCCGGGGTTTTCTTTCCAAGAAACGAAGCAGCCAGGATACCGAACCCAGTCAGAGTGGGTGGGTGTGCACTCAAGTGTAATGGCTGGTTCATTTGCAGATGCCCTCGCGGCTCATTGTGTGTGTATATAAAGAGATGTTGGGTTTTGTAAATACATACTCATTTTTTATGTATAACATGTTGCAATCAACAGACATCATAACATGTCATGTGTACAAGTATCACACCTGCCTGTCTGTGTAATTACATAATGTGACAGAGACCGAACGAGGGCCATAAATCAGTGTGTTTTGTTTATGGTGTATAGCCTGATAGGTGTTATGTTCAAATGGCATGTGGTCAGTTATCGAAGTTGTGTATTGAATATGGTCATTAGCAGACAGGCAGGCAGACACATAGGTGTCAATAAAACAGACATTGAGTTTTGTCTGTGACAACGACATATCTATATCACAGTTAGAAATTGTGTCAACGCTAAATAATGACATTGCTTTTTAAGTATCGAACTGAGAAAGTGACTCGGTAAGAAGAACGTGTGGTGAAATAGACAAATAAAATTATATAAACAGTTAAATCGGTAATCTACTGTCATAACATATAAAAAGCTCGCGCCTGTGAAATACCAACAAAACATTAGAAAAATAGCTCACACCAAAGCCTTCACCGAGTATTCACCGGACAACCCGCTTCCAAGCTGCATGAACCTATTTCACTGCGCATGTGCTATGAGCGCAGCGCAGCGCAGCCCAGCTGTTGAAACCACTTGAATTCCCCCAAGCGTTGGGAGAAAATTACTGAATCGTTTGAACTACGATTTCGTACGGGTTTTTTCATCGCGTTATTTTTCATTTATAAGTTGAATTTGCATTTTTGATGATTTGGTTCGGTAAGTCCATACCGAAAGGTATCAGAATCTGCAAAGTTGTGTTTTACGTTGCATGTGACCTTTAAGATTACAAGAGTTGCCTCCCATATTAAGTACCTTACTACATAATGTAACACTTATCTTAAATTCTATTATCACTATTAGGAAACAGATTTCTCAATAATTTCTGTGAAAACTGTACATCACCAACCGTAAATTTGATGATCATTCTTTTGAGAAATGTTTCTCTTTATTTCCATCACAGAAAATATGCTCCCTGAATCTTCAGACATTTTGTTTTCAAAGATCAAGCAATCTTTCAATTCATTGTCCCTTGAATGAAAAATGACTTAAATTTGTACGAAAAGGTCAATTTATTTGTAATTGGATTTTTTATTTTTTTTCAATGTTGCCATAATTGTAAACCAGGAATCATATATTGCCTCACTTAGCTTTGAGATTAAGGACTAGAATGAACACTGAGCATTTTGTGGCTTAGAAAATGAATATGTATGTTATTCAACATCAAACAGAGTTTTTGCCTGAGGTGTTTGGGATATTGTTTTACATCAGTCATGTGAAGTGCCTTATGAACCTCACTATCAAGACTTGCTTTCTACTAGCTCTCACCACTGTGGCCAGGGTCAGTCAGCCTCATGCTCTGTATCTCACCAGGATCAGTATGGACCAGTACCCCCAGAAACACTTTCATCTATCCTATCGTTTGATTTTATTGTGCAAAACCAACTCCCAGGCCAAATTGCTAGTTTCACATTCTGCCACTGTCTAAGATTATAACCACGAACTGTCTCTTTACCCCATCATTACCCTACACCTCTATCTCCATGTGTCCATTTGTCATCGCCAAGGATAGTGTCTCTTCATACCAGTCATGGACTATGTCACTGCTGAAGTGACCACTTCATTCAGTGATCCTTATCAACAGGCTGACCTCTGACCTCCAGCAACTCTCAGCTTTGGCCCACTATAGTTTGGCATGAAATGCATGTGGACCCAGTTTTTTGTAAATATCTCTTCATCCAATGACCCAATCGATCTTAAACTGTGCAAGTGGATGTTTTGTCAGACAACCTAATCACATTGTAAATCACCGATTTTATGCATTTGTATTAAAGAATCTGTCTATGTAACTGTCAACAAAATAAACAGCAGAACGCAGAATGCTTGCAAAGGGAGTGAGCCAATGACCTGTAACAGCGGCAGTGTTGGGTCATAAATGTCAATGCACGTGCAGTTCATGATAGTTACCTGTGCACTGCACAGTGATAGACCGTTTGAATCATTCACATTGACTACTTCTATCTGTCATCATGAAAGCTTATTCAGATGATGCTAAACGTTTAATTAGAAATGTGTCGAATTTTTTTTTAAAAGAGAGCAAACGTAGCAAACCGATTTATAAGGTGTTGGATTACATGAAACTACAACTTTTGCTCTTGGCATGAAAAGAACATAGTGCTAAAAATTGTGAAAAATAAACCAACAACCAATAAACAAAACCTTGTACAAAAAGGTAGGCATCCAAAGTTAGATTCTTTTGACATCAGGGTCATCAGAGATGGCATTCGCCGGCTATTTGCAAAATTTAAAGATTTTAACCTACAGAATAATTCTCACTAATGGGTTTTGTGGTTAATGTTGAACAACTCAGAGAAACAAACTCCGTATGATGGTTAACAGTTGGCACCCACCTTACCCTATTCACGACCTGTGACACCTCTTCATACCTGTCACGTGCATAGCTGACCTACCGGTACATTGACGAACGTTGACCTTTATGACCCAACACTGACGCTGTTACAGGTCATTGGCTCCCGCCCTCTGCAAGCATTCTGCGTTCTGCTGTTTATTTTGTTGACAGTTACATAGACAGATTCTTTAATACAAATGCATACAATCGGTGATTTACAATGTGATTAGGTTGTCTGACAAAACATCCACTTGCACAGTTTAAGATCGATTGGGTCATTGGATGAAGAGATATTTACACAAAAACTGGGTCCACATGCATTTCATGCCAAACTATAGTCCTGGCCCAAGAAATGCTTAACCCTAGTCTGTCACACAGTCCCTGAACCTTAATATTTCCCTACAGCCTAGCCTTCCCTCTGGGATTTTTGTTTCATTTTGAACGTTTTTTTAGATCAATGTAAATCTGCAATAAAAGACCCCCAAGACCCCCGGCTAAATTTTCAGTGTTTTTTTGTGCTTTGCCGTTCTCATGTCTGTAAAAGAAGCAAGTCCTCTGGTCTCCCTGGAGCTCCTTTTCAATTTAAGTGGGTTTATTTGTTACAATCAAAATTATGTATATTCAGAGACAAAGCGTTAGTCTAACTTAAAGATCACATATACTCTAGGGGGGTACAAATACATAAATCACTAATTGGCATCGTTATAAATGAAACCCTGTCATTAAAAGTACTCATTTCGATCTTTAATTAACTTAAATCAACCTTTTTGACAACAGTGCACAATTCTCACCCACAAACGAAATTCAACCAATCAGAGCGGCGCGTCTCTGTGACGTCATGTGAGGAATAGATACAAGGGCCGATGCAGAATTCATGTACATTTCAGGAGGTAAATTATCTTGTTAACAGGTGTGTATAAACCTGAAATCGTGACAACTGTTGTGAAATATGAAAGCTATATGTTCTCACATTCTACTGTCTTTTAATATTGTCTCTTGCTTTGCCTAGTTTCCGAGTTATAACTTGTTATCATAGACGATTCTGTCAAAATCCCTTGGTGTCGCTAGGCCTTATTTGTTCGAGCCAGACGCTAGTGATAGTGAAAACAATGATCAGCCTCGCTCATCACAGTTACGGTTAATTTCTTAACCTAAGCAGTGCGACATTAAGAAGGGTGGATGCCCATCAGATGCAGTTATTTGAAAAAATATCTCCGGTCTGATTGTAATAAAGTATCAAAGCAGTGTGGGCTTTTTCAGGTTTTCTAATGCCTGATCCAAATTGATCCCATTTCTGTGTTTTTTTTGTACCTCGATATTTAATCATGTCATGTAAAAATATAACGTCTATTACGTATATTAAAAATTGACATTTGATTCATTTGAATCCGTAAACTAAACAACCCTACTTTGCCATTGCTAGAAGAATCTGAAAATTTACCTAGGTAAATAGGTACGTAAAGTTTTAGCACACAGCAAATGCTTATATGTATTTCTTATGCAACAATGAAGTTCTGTTCGTATTCTCAAAACAGTGTCTGCCCATAAGTTTTCACATGTTGTCACCCGTGTAAGGTGGTATAAACCAACACATGCTATTTCTCATCATTCACTTGATGGTCAGTTAATGAAATTATAACAGGTATAATTAGTGGTAACACCACTTAGATTACCAAACAAAGGTTCCCATTTGGCATTTCTTGTGTCTGGAGTAAATACTCAACATTATAACCATCGATCAAAGGATTAACCAATAACACGTTGATTGATTAATTACTTTTATCTTGCACAGCGGATTTGTCAAAAGGTAGTGTTTATGTATGTAGATTTACTAATCTATATTACTTTTTTTTTTAAAGAATGGCGGACATTATGGTATGTTCTCATTTCGCCTCCATCCCATTTCGCCCACAGTCTTAAAACAACATGTCATGGTCTGTTGACTGTTGATTACGCAATGGTGAACTAGTGGCACCCCTATGATCTAAAAATGGACTCTTCTAGTTGAAGTAGTTGAAGGACAAACAGAATTTATATATTTCTGTTTCTTATCATTTTCTGATCACAATGAAATGATAATTTATTTATTTATTTATTTATTTATTTATTTATTTATTTATTTATTTATTTATTTATTTATTTATTTATTTATTTATTTATTTATTTATTTATTTATTTATTTATTTCATTTTTTTTTTTTCCAATATTTTTATTCATTTCAGTGGAGCATACAGGATGGCATAATGACGTTTGATGAAATAGTAGACAAGCATTTCGGTGAAGCATGCAGGATGACATTTGAGTATCATTTGGTGAAATAGTAAAACAAGCATTTCAGTGAAGCATACAGGATGGCATTTGAGTATCATTTGATGAAATAGTAAAACAAGCATGACATATGCATCAAGTACTAAGAGGGTATAGTCTCGAGCCCAACACATATTACACTTGATTTTCATAAAGTATCATTGTACAAAAAATAGTATAGTGAAATATCCATATTGACATAGTATACATTTTGGTCCAGCCAGAACAATACTGTACATAGCGCATGATACACTTATAGAAATAAGTATTGTAACTTGAGAATATTATTTCAGTTCTATTCTGTGATAAATATGGTGCAGTGAAATAACTGTGTTAGCATAGCACACAGTATAGCTAAATATAATATAATAGGAGTAGAGCACTTTTATAGTAGTTATTAGCACTTTTATAGTAGGTATTGCATCATATATTTATATAAGAAAGATGCTACAGTTTCAATTCCTTGGGCCATTTTCTCTGGAACTTTGCCATGTTGTTATTTTTTCTGGCTATATATCTTTCAATTGATAGAATTTTTTTTAGTGAATTTAGAAATTTGTCCAAAGTCGGTTTTCTATCATTTATACTGGCTAGATATATGAATCTTTTTCCAGCAAGAATGATGTTATCAATAAAAAGGTAGCCAGTGTTAATCCCCAGTAATATAGTAAATTTCGTAAATAGGATAATAATATTAACAGTATTTTTAATATACATACTTAAGTCATTCCAAAAAGTCTGAACAATATCACATGAAACATACACATGTACAATGTCTTCAGATTCTTTTTTACAGAATATACAGCGATCATTATCTATTATTTTCATCTTTACTAATTCTTTTCTTGTGTAAATAGCTTTGTGAATGAATCTGTACTGAAAATCTAAGAGTTTAATATCATTTGTACATTTTCTATAATTTAAGAAAATAGCGTCCCAAGGTATAGCAATGTTTATCAAAACTTCCCATTTTCTACACACATCAGGCAATCTATCTGATTTGATCAATTTGTCATAAAATATTCTACAGCCTTTTGAAGGTGTAAGCAGAGTTAATATCGCTTCATTAATACCAAGATTTTGATTTTCTAGTTTATGGTCATTTATTGTGGCTTTCCATGTATTGGGAATACTACTCAAAACTCTATTGTAATCCAAAAAGGTACCTTTAACTAAAAATCTATTCTTAAAGTCATCAAAAGATAATAATCCATCAGAGTTACATATATCTTTAATCTCAGTTACACCCTTGTTGAACCAACTACAGATAAAAAGAGAAGGGTTTACAAAGTGATGGTTCATGAAGTATTTTCTCATAGTCATGTTGATCAATTTTAAAAGATGATCTATACCTCGTGCATGCCTGAAAAACATCCTTCCAATAAAGGTTATCAACTTCCTTAGATAGATCACTATTAGCTCCTAATTGGAGTAATGGTATAATGGGAACATTGCACGGATTATTGCAAGGAGCTCTACAAAGGCATCTTTTCAATGCTGTTATTTTTAGTGAGTCGATGAAAGAAAGGATATCCGTCATCCTAATTCCCCCCTCCCGGTGGTCCTTTTTCAATGTTACTCTTTTTATTTTGTCAGGTTTCCCATTCCACAGAAAAGAGAAGAATATTTGCTCTAAGTCTTTAATAAAAGCATTTGGTGGATTAGGTAGAGCTGTAAAGATATGAACCAAGGAGGAAAGAGCTAGAGTTTTAATAACTGTAATTTTCCCGATAACAGTTAAATGTCTTCTTCGCCAATTTCTTAAAATATTCAGTATTAGAGCCATTCTTTTTTTAGTGTTGATAACCCAGAGGTCGTTCAACTTAGCGTTTAATACTATACCCAAGACCTCAAAGTTACCAGAAACCCAATCCAATATGTATTCACTACAGATAATATCTTTACTATTAATCATAGCCCCTAACCATATTGCTTTAGTTTTATCAACATTAATTTTCAATCCTGAAATTCTATAAAAAAGAGAGAGAGTATCCATAGCTGCCTTTAGACTATCCTCTGTGCCATCCAAGAAAAGCTGAGTGTCATCAGCATATTGGCCTAGTTTATGTTCCTTACGGTTTAGTACAACACCCTTGATATCAGAATTCCCACGGATCATAATGCCTAGAATTTCGGCAACAAAAAGAAAAAGATACGGTGAAATTGGGTCCCCTTGACGACAACCTCTCGAATTAGGGAAAAAGTCTGATAAGTGGCCATTAAATGACACATGAAGTGGCATTACTTGTTAAAAGGGATATCCATTTGAGCATATAGTTGCCAAATCCGAACTTTTTCATAACAGAATAGATGAAAGGTTTTGAAACAGTATCGAAGGCCTTTTCAAAGTCAATTAACAACAGGAGCCCCTTAATGTTTTGTTTTCTAGTTTCAAAAAGAATGTCATAAAGGAGTCTTATATTTTCACTAATACATCTCCCTGGAATAAAACCAGTCTGATTTTCCTGTATTTAATAATCGAGAGTACATTTTAATCTATTAGTAATGCAAGCACTAATCAGTTTATTCACGGAATTTAACAGAGAAATTGGACGCCAGTTTTTTAGCAGTTTTCTGTCTTTTCCTTACTTAGGTATACAAGTTATTACTCCCCTGTTCATAGTTTAAGTAAGATAATTATTTTTGAACGCTTCATTTATATAGCGAAATATCAATTTTCCCAGATCGCACCAAAAGAATTTAAAAAGTTCTATTGAATATCCGTCAATACCAGGACTTATATCATTTTTCATAGACTTCAAGGCATTTAGTATTTCATTCATATTTATTGGCTCTTCTAGTTTTTCTATCAAAGTGCTTGGAAGAACAGGGACGTCAAGTTCGGATAGTATTTCACTGTGGTCTATTTTGTTATCTTTTTCAGCGTATAAAACTTGATAGAAATGTTTTTGCCTACACAAGATGTCCTTTTCATCAGTAATTAACTCACCATCGTCCGATACGAGACAGTTAATGGCTTTACTAGTAAAGTGTCTGTTTTCAAGGTTACAAAAATATTTTGAAGGTTTTTCGCCTTCTTCCTGCCATAACATTCTGAAATGATAATTTATTTATCTTATATCACATCATATCATCACATCATCTTCTAGTTGAAGTAGTTGAAGGACAAAAAGAGGTTTTTTAAAGAATTTATTTCTGTTATTTGTCTGTTACTTATTTATTCTGTTATTTGTCATTTTCCAATCACAATCGTGACATTGTCCATTCTCACTTCAACTTGATAAGGTGACCAGCTGCGTTGAGGAATTGAAGGGGTGATCTTCTCCCAGAAGCAAGTTGCTCTCCAAGTCTGTCCAAGCGACTCTCCAGGTTTCGGTAGATCCTTGATTTGGGGCGGACAGCTGCTCCATGATCGATCTGTCTGCGTGCCAGTCTGTTCGCTGTTTCCAATTTCTTTATAGCAATGACGAAATCATATATGTTCGGGTGATGCTTTCTGACGAGTTTCTTGAAGCCGTTGTGAAAACCCTCCAAATGATTGTTGGTTCTGGGTCCTGTATTTTCATGCTGGTTCCAGATACGAAGTGGGAATCTTGCATCGTAGTCTACCCATGTAGAGGTCATGTAGTCGTTGAAGGCAGCAATACCCTCAACATCTGGAGACGCAGTCAATGTATCCATCCACGCATCATGGACCTGATCCACCGGGAGGAGGGAAAGAGAAGCAGCACGTCGCACATGGGAGTTGAAAGTTGGATTGTTCCTGTAGTCGTTGACTAGGCCTTTCTCGGAAACTTGCTTGTGTATAATGGAAAACAGCTTGTGTATGATGGAAAAAGCATCCACGGATATCAGCACCTGGGAACACTGTTTCAATGGCACCAATGGCAGCAGCTTCGTAGTCTGTTTGCACTATAGAAGGGGAGAGATTGACACCGACAGTTGTAAGCACAATATCCTGTTTCGGCCACAGCAAGGATATCCATCATCTCTGTGGTTGTGAAGATTAGAATCCTGTTGTCATCACCGTCGTCTACCACCAGGAACTGCCGGCCGTCTGAAGTCTCTGTCTTAAAAGCTTAAATTTTGTCTCTCTTTGTTTGTAATTATTTTAAAAAACACGATCATGCACAAGTCTTGAGGTTGTCACTTGTGACAACAGATCTTATCCTCTTTACTCAACTACATATCCTTATAACAACTTAGTAATTCACACTGAGAAATTAACTACATCTCACCATCGCATTCATTAATCCCTGTCATTATATTTTAACCCTGTTTTAACTTCTCAGTGGATGCACTAATCCTGTTTACATATCCTTATAACAACAGTCGATCAAGTCTCAGTGAGTCAGGTTCATTATAAGAGTAGGGGTGCATTCTCTAATCCCAATTCGCCTACATTGTTTTTGTAGACGAATTGAGATGTAGGCGAATAGAGACTAAACCGACATTATGCAATTAGTTGCCAGCTATCTTGGGTGACCAATGAGATTATACACCAATGTGAAATACCTGAAACGATATATCACTTTTTCGTTTATGAGACTGTTAAAAGACACATCACTTGGAACAGCTGCAGATGAACGGCATATCACTCGTTTTTGTGGATATAGATGGATACATTCCTCGAACAAGGTAATAGCCTGCCATTGTTCCCATAACTTTAATCTGTTTTAATATTAATATTTGCATTTTGTTTTTATTCATTTGTCGTAGCATTCAACAGAATCATTTGTTTTTTGCCGTGAAGTGTAATGAGACAGACAACATACACTAGGGCGTGTGTGCGAATTATGATTCACATTGGCAAACTATAAAATGTCTTGATATTACAGTCCTGTTATAAATTCACTATAAGTATCAGCAGATCATCTGCTTTTTATTAAGTTTCAAAATGCATACAAGTATGATAATAAATTAATTAGGATTATAAGACCAAATATAAAGACGTACATTGACTAGTATCTATATACTGGTAAGTGGACGCTAGCCACGTGAATGTAGCAAGAAATTTATCGCGCAGTATTGTCACTTCAACCCCCACCTCGCTTCCATGGAAGAAATCGTTATGTTACAAGTTGTGTCATACAAATCCTTTTGGTCATGATTCAAATACATATTTAACTACGAGTAGAAAGTAGTTTTGATTTTCTAACTTGATGAAAACAAACCATAATCTCATTAATTCTAACAGACTTTAGCACGTGACTTTACGATTTTCATCCGCCAGTCTGAGTATAAATGCTATTTAGGTTTGTTTTCACCGAGTTACAAAATCAAAACTTATAACTGGTAGTAAAATATGTATTTGATTGATGGCCAAAAGGATTTTGCATGACATAGCTAATAACATAACAATTTCTCTCATGGAAGTGAGGTGGGTGTCAATATAATACTACTTACAATATTATTGTTACTTTGACCATAACCTCGCTTCCAAGGAACTGACTGACTGAGTTTAGTTTTAACGCCGCTTTTAGCAATATTCCAGCAATATCACGGCGGGGGACACCAGAAATGGGCTTACGCTTCCAAGGAAGAAATCGTTATGTTACAAGTTGTGTCATGGAAAATCTTTATGGTCATCAATCATATACCGGTACATATTTTACTACAACTAGTAAGTAGTTTTGATTCTTTAACTTCCGTGAAGCGATCTGAACACAAGTAAGGCTTCAACAATACTCGCTTTGCACTCACAAACATAACCCATTTGGCACGAACTGGGGGGTCCTGTGAAAATCAGTGCATGGTAACACCATCGCCCAACCCCTAGGAGCAATTGACGACAACGCAACGATTCGGCATGTCTTCGTTGATGTCGAGGAATCATCAAAATGACGAGCTTGCTACACACTTTATATACAACTAACTGAAAACCCTTCCTCACATGACGTCACTGCAGTGCTCTGGCGACAGAGTTACGTAACCTGTCTGGTTTCGTTGGCAGGCGAGAGTGAAGCAGGCAACTTTTGGGCAACTTTTAATCGCTCGGTATTAATTAACCACAAGTTTTTTAAGAATGAATTTGGTGTTCCGCATAGGACTAACCACAAATCTTTCACATGTAAGTGTTAAGAGAGTACAAAAGTTTATTTGTTCTTTAACCCATGATGCCATTAATCGTTTCCCCAAGAGGAAAGATGGCTTCTTTTCAATGTAAGACAGCCAAGTGGGCCACCACTGACAAGGTTGGGACACACTTTGTGTTTATTCCTCTATTCTGGATGCTGTGAACTGTTCCGTTATGACCCAGTAAAGTATAGGTATCATAATTTCCCTCTCACGAGCTGGATCATCCTCGATAATCTCCAGGGTATACATTACGATCACTCTCCACTCTACCCTGGATGCATCCACAGGATGATTTTATTACCTCCCTTGGCTGGCTTTTTATCCAATCTGGCGTTTACGCTGGGAAGTTGAGCGAACCAATCACAACTTTTACACTTTCGCTTCTTAAATTATCTAACCGTTTAAACTTGGCAACACAATTGATGCAGAGGTACTGTGAAAGAGGTAGAAGGAGTTCTTTTATATATTTTTTGAAAGTTTCAGATCTGTCAATTTGTCTGTATTATTTCCTAAAAAATCTGAGTGGCACTGCGAACAAACCTTCGCGACTGCGACTGCTATCTTTGTTGACACTGGCAAGCTCGGATGTAACGGCGGCTTAGCTGATTGGTTACTGTGAGAATGCGGAGCCAGCAAAGGGAGGTAATATAATTATCGTGCCAAGCCGCGGATGCATCCAGGGTATAGTGGAGAGTGATTGTAACGTATGCCCTGGAGATTATCGAGGATGGAGCTGGATGTGAATCACTTCTTACTTTGGCCGATTGTTGAGCCTTATTCTGGTATTCTTGGTATCTTCAGACAACCATTCTCAGGGGAAAGAAACTAGACCACAGGACCAGTGAGTATACAATAACAAGTGGTCCTCTCTGTACTTCAGTGGTCCAAAATAACATTCCAGGGGTGGAAAAAACTTTAAAATTGGTAGTGTACTCCGGTACAGTGGCACATGTAAAGTCACTTGCCCTGATAATTTTTCCACTATACCGACCGTTTTCTTGCTGATGTTTTAAATAAACAACATAATTAACATTGGAAAGTCAACTGGACACCGGTACAGTGTGATATAGAAATTTGCTTGCCCGACAGAAAAAAACACTGGACTCGGACATCAGGCAATTGGATATTTCCACCCCTGTATTCGTAGATTTACTTTAAAAAATCACTGATGAATTTGTGCTAGCCATTCTGATCCAAGAGTGCTTGACAAGCATCATATTCACCAGTTCTGATGTGAGTGTAGCCTCATGCAAGGCAAAACACGAACATTTCAGGATAAATGTAGTGTTTTTTATAATTACCCCTTTAGGCCTGCCTGGACTTCTTCTACATGCTCCTCCTTTCCATTCTGGCACCACTGTCCACTCTACATCAACCCTCATACAGTAAAGAATACAAAGTTGCACGGGCACAAGGCTACTGTCTTCAATGTGTCTCTCCAGTCCTGTCTGTTAAGTTATACCCCCATTTCACTGGACGGCGGAATGGAAGGATCGTTGCGGATGTGCACGGAATGGCGTCTACGGATAGTCTTCGGCATTTTTGCACAGAAAATTGGTTAAAATCCTACGGAAAATTGTAATTTGATACTCCTTCAGAATACATTCCGAACGTTTACGGAATATACGGAACAACTGCGGCAAAACTATGGTAGAACCTAGGATTAATTGCGGAATACCCCACGGAAGAAATGCGGAACAAGTAGGAGTGTGCGGAATGCTACAGAAGACTTTCGAAGTGTTAGAGGAACACATACGGAAAGACCCTCGTCAACCACGTTTAATTTCGGAACGAACGCCTCATTTCCGCGGATGAAGTCGGCAAAGATCAAAGGATTTTCACCTGATTCCGCCTATAAATACGCGGATTCCGAACAAGGAAGCTCAATTCTGCAAGTGAAGACGTACTTGAAGCACTTCAAGAAGCTCCTCCAAATGGACCAAACTACAGAGAAGGCTGACTTGATGTTGCTCCACCTGCTGTTGTTATTTCACGAATACATGGGTACGTCCATGGCTGAGGGTGGAACTATGACAATCTCATGGAAGAGCTCCGTTTCAAAGACAAGCAATCCTTCTTCAATTATCTCCGGGTCCCACCTAACCTCTTTGGCGATTTGCTCACAGTCTTGGCTCCCCGACTGACAAAGAAGGATACCAACTTCAGAAGTGCACTCAGCGCTGTTCTAAAACTAGCTGTCACCTTGTGTCACCTGGCTTCTGGTGACAAGTATCCAACTCTGGCCTACAACTTCAGGGTATCTCGCCACACCATTGCAAGCTTCCTACCCGGGGTCTGTCAGGCTATCATTGATCAATACAAAGACGAAGTCATACAGTGTCAACATACTGAGCAGGAATGGAGATCACTCAGCTGGGAGTTCCAGGATAAATGGAACCTACCTCATGCCATGAGAGCCCTGGATGGGAAGCACGTCGCCATTCGAAAACCACCATCAAGTGGAAGCCTACAAGGGCTTCTTCTCCATCGTTCTGTTAGCACTGGTAGACGCCAACTACAGGTTCCTGTGGATAGATATGGATGGGATGGGCCACATGTCTGATGCCCAGATATTCAACGCCTCGGAGCTTAAAGAATACATCGAAGACGAAACCATCAATTTCCCCAGACTTGAACCACTCCTATACGACGATGCTGACACGCCATACTTCCTTCTAGGGGACGATGCGTTTACCCTCAGAAAGTACCTCATGAAGCCACACTCCAGACAAGGCCTTACAGAGGAAGTATTGTTGTTCAACTACAGGATATCCAGAGCACGCAGAGTCGTTGAGAATGCCTTTGGCATCTTGGCCAATTGCTGGCAATGCCTTCTATCTACACTGCAACAAGGACCAGGTGTCGTGAGAAGTATGGTTGAAGCTGCCGTCTGCCTTCACAACATCATGAGGACGAGGTACACTGCCAACCAGGATGCACTTGTAGACAGAGAAGACGATGACCACAACATCATCCCTGGGCAGTGGCATCAGATGGCCAATATGCATGATTTGGCCAATGTGATGGGTCCCAACAGAGACACTGTAGAGGCCAAGAAACAGCGAGAGTATCTGAAACTCTACTTCAACAGTGAAGTGGGACAAGTTGCTTGGCAACCATATGTCATCAGACACGCTCAAGGGTAATTGTGCCAAGATGGATGGACGCTACTCCCTTCATACGTAATATGCACTCTAGACTCTTGACGCAGTATCACCTCACTCAGCAGACTCTTTATGTATGCTGTCATTGTAAAAATTTTTTGCTATATGAATTCGTGTTTTCTCATTTACTCATTCTTGCATTAAAATGTTGTTAAAATGTTTCCTTTGTCATGTTTTTCTTACAAGTTACAGTTATGTCAGGTTTTGAAGCTTGTGACTTATGTGTTGATAGCTGGACATCATCACCATTCAGTGCCGGACAAAAGAATGTGAACACAATAAAAGAGAGTTTAATTTTGTATGTAATGTGTAAGGTTGTTCACTTTCTTTTGTTCGACAGTATTGATGACAATACGGTTTGGATGTATTTGGAAAAGTGTATGCTACAGACATCACAATTCAGTACCGGACAAAAGGGTGTGAACACATTTAAGGGCTAAGAGATAATTTGATTTATACAACCCGACAAAAGCTTAGAATCGCCATTGAAAATGTAATGAAACAGTTATAACAACGGGAATATAGTCATCATAATAATTTATAACTTTTCTGTAGATGTAGATGTCGAGTGGTTTGTCCTCTGTCTCTTGTGATGTGGATGGCAGTGGTGATTCTTCAGTGGTTGAGGACGTGGAAGCGCCGGACCCAGCTGCAGCAGCAATCTTTGCTTTGAGGGACACAGCGTTCCTCCTCTGCACCTCTGCGATGTGTGGGCAGAGGAAGCTGAACCTGTCATAAATCCACCTGTCCCTTTCAGACATCTGTACGTCAACTTGTCCAGATTTCCACCGTCGCAATTTCCCCAATCGAGTCCGGACACTTTGGAACCATTGCTTCAGTTCATCTTCGGTCTTCCCCATACGATCATACTTACTGGTCTGACCATACTTTCGCTTCCTGGTGCTTGTCACTCCAGGATCGGAGCTTCTTGTTGTACAGACATTCGTTAACCCTGATGAAGTCCACCATGACCTCTTCTTCTTCATCTTTCAGCTTACTGTAAACTCTGGGTTTCTTGCTAGGGGCAGTGGTGGCATCAGTTTCAACAACACCAGCAACATCTGATTCTGCATCAATGTCATGTGCATCAGGAGCAGGTTCTGGAGCTTGTGAGGGTTCTGGTGGGTGTGACCTCCCTCTCTTGGTACCCTTCTTCTTGGCTCTTGGCATAGTGACTTGCAGCAGAGTTGTCTTGCAAATGAATGGCAGACAGTCCACCTCGCCAGTATTTATACTAGGAGCAATTATTCCGTACTTTCCTATAGTCTTCCGAAAGCGATCATTGTGTTCCGCGACCATTCCGTAATCGTTCCGTGAACATTCCGTAATCGTTCCGTGAACATTCCTCCATGTTCCTCGTTGCGTCTGTAATTCTCCCGCGGTGTTCCATGTGTATTACGTGCATTCTGTGTTAGCGAGAGCATTCCGTGTGTTAGCGAGAGCATTCCGTGTGTTAGCGAGGGCATTCCGTTTTCATCCGTGCGTGAATGCAATTAATCCGTGGCCAAATTACATCACACAGAAAGGGAAGGAAGGTTAGCGGAATACTCGTGGAAGACTTGCAGTATGTGCGTTCATATAAGGAATGAATATGAACAACTTGCGGAAAGGGCGGAATACTTACGGATTGACCTTGGAACACCGACAGATTTTTTTTTCCGTGAACGTGCTTTTGAACATGTTCAAAAGCACGTTTGCGGAAAATTTTGGCCTGCTGGAACATTACGGAAGATGAGGAACACTTGCGTAATAACTGCCTTCCCTGGAGGAAAGCACGGAAGATGGGGGAATATTTTCGGACAATTTGCGGATGGGACCATTTTTGCTTCTGGAATTATGCTGCGGCCCAGTGAAATTGGGGGTATTAGGTTGGGAAGCTAAAACACTGTAGCATTGGGTAAGTATTCCATTCCTCTACGAAGTCGTTAAAGCATTCGCTCGTCATGCTGAAGGCCCGAGTTCGATTCCCCATGTGGGTACAATGTGTGAAGCCCATTTCTGGTGTTCCCCTTATGCACTTGATACATGAGTAACCACAAAAATGGTTTTCATGGCGCTAATCAACCATTTTACAGTAATCAAATTGCAAATGATACCATAACTCAGCTAGTAGCAAACTCAGTGGTAGCTTATTATCCCCCGCAACGCGTTTTGCGGGGAGTAGTAAAATGGACTCCGTCCGTCTGTCCGTGCACATTTTTCTTTTCCAGACCTAAAACCGTTCAATATTTCTTCACCAAACTTGGCACATAGATAGATCTGGTGGTGAACTGGTGCCTTTTGGTAGTTTTGGATTTCTGAATGAAGTGTTTTTGGCGTTTGCATGGCAACAAGTTTGACTTAGACCGAAATTGGTGTTAGTACACTTTTCCGGAGCAGAGCGTAAAAACTGTTCACTATTTCTTCACCAAACTTGGCACATAGATTGGTTTGGTGGTGTGCTCGTGCCTTTTGGTAGTTTTGGAATTCTGAATAAAATATTTTTGCCGTTTCCATGGCAACACGTTTCACTTAGACTGAAATTAATGGTAGTGCTCCTTTCTGGAGCAGAACTTTAAAAACCTTTCAGTACTCTCCTTCGACTTTTCTATATACACACCAAAACATTTGACACAATCATAGCTTGTAGACATATTCATGAAGAGTATTTTGCCATTGCGGGGGATATTGATGACTTTGTCTTCTTGTTGTATTATATTTGACATTTGTTTGTGTATAACTGACAAGACTACATTTTGTCTCTATGTCTATCCTGTTGTAGATTGCATGGTGAATCGAGGTGAGTCCTTCAGATCACAATATGTGTTTGTATCTGGTATCTGACCACTGCACCTTGCCAGCTTCCACCGTCAGTTTGGTGGTCACAAGTCCTACAAAATCGTTACAGTTGCACTTTCTAATTCTTGATTACCAATCAACAATAACTTTATGTTTATGAGCATGCACCTGTTGTTGTTACACCTGTTTACACTCTTGTCTAAATAGATTTTACATTTCTACACTTCTACGCACAGTGAATTATTACAATTCACTTTGCCAAACTTTGAAACATATGGTACCTACCTCACAGACAGATCTCAGAATTTTCTTTTCTGAATTCACAAGGGTCTGAGTGCTGAAGCTTGATGAAGATGAATGGGCTTTGTTTTTTGGATAATTTTTTAAAATATCACAATTACTTCCGAGATTTCTCTGGGCATTCTCACAGGCTGATGTTCAGCCTTTAATTCAGAGTAAGTGTTGAAATTTCTAAATTAGAATGCAGTGAAGCATTGTGCTAAAAAGTCAGTTTTTCTTTTTCAAAGAAATATATTATGTATTTCAATGAGCAATAAACTGTCAGTGTTAGATTGGGGGACATTCAGCTGCATCTCTCTGATAATTTGTCCCATTGCACAAAATGCCTAATCTGCAACTTAGCAACATTATTTTTTCAAGAGCTGCCTGACATTTTCAGTAGCTTTAACATTAGATGTAGTGCCCTGAAAATCCATAAATGAAATACAGTTATCTGTAAACCAAAATGCTTGGACATTGTCCTGTAATGTTACCTTGTCCTATGGCATATTCTAAGGGGCCTTCATGAAGAATCCTTAGTTACATTTACCTTCTGCAAAGATACCTCCCATCATATAGTACCAAGCCACAGTCATGTGCAGTGAAAACTTTGGAACTATTTTTACACACTTCCTCCATTGGATCATCGACTTTTTATAGACATTGTAAGAAGTGTTTTCTGTACACAGATAAAACTTTCTATTCCAAGGTACATGTCATTCATTGGCAAGGGTGTTGAAGTGGTAAATGTTTGCGTGATCTTCATTTATGGTCAACATCTCTGTATTGAACCAAGGTACTAACTAGCATTGCATGTTTGTAAGAACTTGCACCAATTGTTACCTATTAAGGTAGATTATGGCATGTGACTTTCTGTTTCACCCACACTACATTATTTTCTTATGTGTAAAAGTAATGATGGCTGGATGTCCATGTAACAACTGTTTTCATCGAGAGAAATGAGAGTGGCATGTTTTCTTGCCTCTGTCATGTCTATTTTTAAAGATGTACGCTTTCAAGATGTCTGCTTAAACAACAGAGCCTATGAAGCTGAAAGTTTCCATGGATTGTCAAAACTATGGTGTATCTGAAAGGTGTGCGGAAAAAACGTCCTCGGAGGGGTGTCTGTTCGACTCTAGGGTCATGTTATATTGTTATACAGTATCCCATGAGCACCTTGGTGGCCCATAGACAGCCTCCCTGAAGCATTACCTTCATACTTACCATTGTTTTGATTGTTGACGCTAGGGCAGTGGTGTTATCTCCCTTAGCAGAATCGACCACTTTCATTGCTTATCTCTGGGAGTCATGCTTGAGTACCCCAAGGAAGACTTCTTCTAAAAAGGAATTCGGGTTTCCAATTCCTTGAAATAAGTCTTCCTTGGGGTATGGCTGCCCACCTCCCCTCAATTCTGCTCCCTCTTGACCAGAAAAAGAGGAAGTTGTATTATTATTATATTATTATATAGGATATTTATATAGCGCACATATCCAGGCAGTTAGTGCATGCTCAAGGCGCGCTGGTATTTTTGCCCTCGATCAATGGATGTCAATCTCAACGGCACATCGTATTATCAATCTCAACTCCCTGGGGAGTATACAACTCTTGCAGCCACTAGGCCCACAGAGTTATTGTGGCTTTCTCATCCTAACGAGGTACCCATTCACAGCTGGGTGGACTGGGACACATAGTCACAGTACTTTGTCAAAGTTCACTGCACGTTGCTGTACCCGCAACTAGGTGTTTGCACGTATTTGTGTGGCCACCATCTAGTCATATACCAACAGATTCGTGGGTTCTTTTAAGTGCACAGGGTTGTGTACTGTACACTAGGGGTTGTGACAACACTGAAAGAGTCTGCACGCAAAGTTGACTCCAAGGTTTTTTACACCCGGTCACAGGTGGGCTCGACCTCAACCTCGCTGGATCACTAGCCTGGCGCATGTATGGCATGATGGGTAAACCCTAGCCACGAGGTTTCATGAATGGGAGGTAACCACTGCATGCCGCATCAACAAAAGTTTGTTGTTTTGAAAAAATATTAAAAATTAATACTTTTTGCACGGCCACTAGACATGTTTTTTGTGAAAAAATGCTGGAGTACCCCAAGGAAGACTTACTTCAAGGAATTGGAAACCTCTCCAGGTTTAGGTAATTTTTTATTACAATAGGACTTTTTTCGGTACTTTTTGAACGAGGACTTTTTTTCCTACAATCATCTGAAAATCCTGGCAGAATTCAAGCCTGATTATACATAAATAAAAAGTACAATTTTTTCCTATTGCAATAAGTATGTGTTCATAAGTCATATAAGTGGAACACTAATGTTTTTAGTGCATTTTGATATTGGGCAATGCTAAGGCCTTAGACTAGCAGATACCTAAGCTTATCAGGTCTTGCTGTATTTTCTCTGAAATCTTGGGGTTTATGAGCTTTTGATCACTCTTCATTTAGCAATGCAAACTTTCATGGCAGTTTCAGTAAGTGTATCAATTCTCTGTTAACGAAGATTTAGTTTGAGGTTGTCATTATAGGTTATCTTTGAGAGTGGTTGCACAAGTGTAAACAACAGTGAGTTGGTGCCACAATCTGATCAGCACACACATGATTTCTCAGTATGTAAACAGTATTGAATGAAACATTGAATAACAAGAGTTAAAATTGATTACCAATGAAACCCAGACAGTCAATGGACACTTTTTATAAATATGACATGTGCACTGCCAGATTGTGAAGCACAAGCTATCAACAAGTGAGGATCGAGTTGCTTTCCCTGTAGTCGGTCATGTCTCATGGAATAATAATTCATACAAAAATTCATAATTAATTATATCCACTACAAGTGATATATTAGGATTCAGATATTAGGAAAATATAAATATAGAATATTAGTTTCATCATGTATCAGTAATAGCTTAGAGAAAGACTTCAGTCAGAAGTAGTAAAATTCATATCACCGACATACTATTGAAAACTTACTGAGGCTGATGCATAAAAGGTGTGAGTGATTGTGGTTTTGTGGATTCAGTAATAAATGTAATTGTTCATGGCCATAGCACTGAGAGAGGACTACTAAACAGTGCTATTTAGGGATGTGTCATGCCACAAATGCCTTTTGTCTCTGTGCTTAATGTCTCATACAGAAGGACCTTATTGATCCAGTGAGAATAATTAATCAGTTTCTTTAGGTGAAACATATATTGATAATTGATGAATAAATGAATTTATTTACCCAGCTTGCTCCAAAGTGGATTGGCCAGTATAACTGCGTCACTGGAACTGCTAACTGTTGAAGCAGAAAAAATGACAAACATAATTATGCTTTCTGGCATGTTGTACGAGTTTTAATGAAGTTGTTTTATCAAAGGGGGGTTATTTGAATAGCTGTGATCGCACACTCTCTTTCCCTGTGTTCAATACTTTATGATTAGTGACGATCAATCCACATCACAACCAAGCCCGTTTGTTTGATCTCTTGTCGATTGAAACTAAATTTTTCAAAGCTTCAGATTTTGTTGGGATTCTTTCAGTTGAGTACAGAAAGGATTATTCTGAATCTCTTTGATTTTGCCCAAGAGTTCACTTTTCTTATCACTTGAAATAAGATGTTTTCCTGAAGGGTATAAGATGTGCAGACAGTTTTTCCATTATGTTTGAACATGTTGAAGCTTGTGAGTTGTAAGAGTTGTAAAACTGCCAGTTTGGGACACTTGTAAATAATGTCTGTCTGTAGAAAAATAATATACCAGTCATACAATGTCTAACCTTTTGGGAAATTTAGATGTAAAAAAGATGGTGATAAAAAAATATGCCTTTGGAACCGGTTTTCCTCAGAGACATCCGATCAGAAATGTCATGTTCTTAAAATTTTACAAGAAAAATATCGAATCTAGTTGAAGTAGGCAAATTGTGTTTGAAGATATTTGTTTTAACCATAAAAAGGCCTAATTAGCATTCTGATTAGAGTTTCCTTCCTTCCTTCCCACAGATATTAACCCCAAATCCTTTTTTGATTCTTTGAAGAAGATATCAAGCTAGGACCTTTTCTGTGATGAAAGAGTTTTCTGCAATTCTTGGCAGAAATATCATATATGTTCTTTTTGCGTGCGTTTTATTACACTATGTCATCACTTGAAATATTTTTAGGCAAAATTGCAAGTATTCTATGGGATTGTATTCTTGGTAAATTTTCTGTTTTAATAATTAGGTTTGCTATTAAGGCCAAGTTACACATGGAGATGTAACAAAACCTTTTTATCCGCCGCAACGCGTTTTGCGGGGGTTATTAAAATAGACTCCATCTGTGCGTCCGTCCGTCCGTCCGTGCACATTTGTCTTTTCCGGAGCAGAACTCTAAAACCGTTCAGTATTTCTTCACCAAACTTGGCACATACATGGATCTGGTGGTGTACTGGTGCCTTTTGGTAGTTGTGGAATTCTGAATAAAATATTTTTGGCGTTTCCATGGCAAAACGTTCGACTTAGCCTGAAATTGTGGTAGTGCTCTTTTCCGGAGCTGAACTCTAAAACCGTTCAATATGTCTTCACCAAACTTGGCACATACATGGATCTGGTGGTGTGCTGGTGCCTTTTGGTAGTTTTGGAATTCTGAATTAAATATTTTTGGCGTTTCCATGGCAACAAGTTTGACTTAGCCTGAAATTGTAGTAGTGCTCTTTTCCGGACCATAACTCTAAAACCGTTCAATATTCCTTCACCAAACTTGGCACATAGATAGATCTGGTGGTGTACTGGTGCCTTTTGGTAGTTTTGGAATTCTGAATAAAATATTTTTGGCGTTTCCATGGCAACAAGTTTGACTTAGCCTGAAATTGTGGTAGTGCTCTTTTCCGGAGCTGAACTCTAAAACCGTTCAATATGTCTTCACCAAACTTGGCACATACATGGATCTGGTGGTGTACTGGTGCCTTTTGGTAGTTTTGGAATTCTGAATTAAATATTTTTGGCGTTTCTATGGCAACAAGTTTGACTTAGCCTGAAATTGTGGTAGTGCTCTTTTCCGGAGCAGAACTCTAAAACCGTTCAATATGTCTTCACCAAACTTTGGACATAGATAGATCTGGTGGTGTACTGGTGCCTTTTGGTAGTTTTGGAATTCTGAATAAAATATTTTTGGCGTTTCCATGGCAACAAGTTTGACTTAGCCTGAAATTGGTGGTAGTGCTCTTTTCCGGACCATAACTCTAAAACTGTTCAATATTCCTTCACCAAACTTGGCACATAGATATGATCTAGTGGTGTACTTGTGCCTTTTGGTAGTTTTGGAATTCTGAATAAAATATTTTTGGCGTTTCCATGGCAACAAGTTTGACTTAGCCTGAAATTGTAGTAGTGCTCTTTTCCGGAGCAGAACTCTAAAACCGTTCAATGTTTCTTCACCAAACTTGGCACATAGATTGGTCTGGTGGTGTACTGGTGCCTTTTGGTAGTTTTGGAATTCTGAATAAAATATTTTTGGCATTTCCATGGCAACAAGTGTGACTGAAATTGGTGATAGTGCTTCTTTCTGGAGCAGAACTTTAAAAACCTTTCAATACTCTCCTTCCACTTTTCTATATACACACCTAAATATTTGACATAATCATAACTCGTAGACATATTAATGAAGAGTATTTGGGATATTGATGACTTTGTCTTCTTGTTTAAAATTCTGTTATCAGTGTTAGGAAGCAAAGATTTTCTCAATAATTTTAGGGAACACTGTACCTATTACAATAAACAACAGAAAGTGCATCAGTTTCTTTCTCCAGCTGATTTTTAAAGTGGAAATTCAATGGAACAATTATATGAATTTTCCCATGGGTCTTTTGGGATCCTCATTAAAACCTTTCTAAACAAATCATCTTGTACTTCACTGTCAGTTCACTTAATTTAGTATGTATACTAGCCACTTAAAGAAACTGTGCATTGTCAAAATATTATCCCAGTTGATAAGTACGATAACAATGTCAAAGGTACATATAAACTTTAATGGATGGATCATGAGACCATAACAAGTCGGGAGAATTTCAATTGAAAAAGTCAATCACAATGACGTCATGAGTCCACAAGCGGGACCGGGGTCAAACGACCATGTCACAAGCTCAATAATGGGTATGTCCACCATCGGCATTGAGAACAGCAGTGCATCGACGACGCATAGAGCCTATCAAACGTGCAAAGAAGGCTTGTGTGATGTCACGCCAGATTCTCTTAAGGTCTGTCATCTGGCGGATGAGGAAGACGGCGTAGACGTCGATCTATCTCGTCCCAAACATGCTCTATTGGGGAGAGATCCGGTGAATTTGCAGGCCAGGGCAGTAAGTCAACGTTGTGGTGTTGCAAGAAATCCATAGCAACCCTTGCTGATGAGGGCGGGCATTGTCCTGTTGGAATGTTAACCCAGGGCCATGACGTTGCAGAAAAGGAATTGCCACAGGTTGAAGAATCTGATCCCTGTAGCCCACACCAGTTAAGTTGCCCTGAACAATCACCAAAGGAGTTCTTTGGCGTGCTGTTATTCCACCCCAAATCATCACGGAAGCACCACCAAAGCGATTCCTCTCCAAGACACAGGCCTGTGCATAACGTTCTCCCACGCGTCTATAGGCACAATGACATCCATCACTATGGGAAATGTTAAACCTGGATTCATCTGTAAAAACAACATTTCTCCACCAAAACAAGGGTCTGCGGACATGATTTCGGCACCACATTCGGCGAGCTTGTCGATGACGTTGTGTCAGGATAGGCGTATGGCGGGATGTCGTGGTCTGATCCCGTGATGACGTAAACGTTGTCGAACTGTGTAGGGGTGGATACGGGGAAGTCCTGGGATGGGTCGGGCGCAGATGGGTCACCCTTATCCATCTGTCCTGTCTTGGCGTTGTTACACATTGACGTCCAGAATGTGGCCGATCGATGACGTCATTTGTGTTCTGGTAGCGTCTCACCAGTGCAGAAATGGTGTTCCGGTGGCAGTGGAAATGTGCAGCCACTTGTCGTTGAGACATTCCCCCACGGACCATCCCATTGGCCTCATGACGTTGTGCAGACGTGAGCCTTGGCATGCTATGCGTTTCAATAGCCGTTAAATTTTTGGAACGATCGCAAGGGCAGGGATTGAGCTTTCCAAAGTGACAGTATTGTGTGGCATTCATTTGCTCTGTTTCTCTTTCCCGGAATGCACGTGCAACAACGTATTGTACGCCTCAAGGACGAACCAACTGATGTCACGGAGCGTGGCACGTGCATGCATGTTGGATACATGTGACTAATCTCTGAGTTTACATCCTTATGTGTCTACACAGGTTTGATAAATTTAGATTTTAAATATTGTATGCACAGTTTCTTCATGTGCCTAGTATATTATGTTGATTTTCAGAGACCATATGAGATATGTGGTGGAACTGTTGATTCATCCATTCTTAGACTGGATTTAAGTCTGGATTATGTTTCAATATTTCTTTGTTGAATAGGTAATGTTTTCCACAACTTAATAGAAGATCGTATGGAAGAGGATTCAGAAATTTATACATAATATATGCATGGCTCTGTTATGAGCAGTTCTGAGGCATTGTGTTATGTTTTTCATGAAGAAGTGAGTTATGTCAGTGTCATAATATTACAGCATTCTCAGTGACTGATGGGGCTCATCTCCATGATGATGAACATAAACTTCTGGATTCCAACATGTTGTTTTTGTGGAAATTTCCTTATGGAGTGGTGTAGTGGTTAGCATGCTGGCCTCTCACGCCAAATGCCCAGGTTCGAATCCCGAAGCGCGAAGCGGGGGATATAGTATTAGGCTCCGTACGTCCGTCCGTACATACGAATTGGAATATCTTAAGAACCGTTCACTAGAATCTTTTCATATTTGGTACCTAGGTTCATCACAATATAAGAAAGGCCAAGTCAGGTTTGGTGACCTTGACCTTCATTTCAAGGTCACAAGGGGACTTAAACGTTTTACCTGCATGTTAATTCTAAAGAACCTTTCACAGGATTTTCTTCATATTTGACACCAAGCTTTATCTAGGGAAGGCCCAGGGCCCAGTCAATTATGGTGACCTTCACATAATTTTCAGGGTCACGGCGACACTTTGAAGATTTCAGCATGTTAATCTGAATTGTCAGCAAGATATTTCAAGAACGGTTCACGGGATTTTCTTCATAGACTTTCAAGACTTCCCTTGAATGTTTTTCAAAAAGCAGTTTCTTTAGTACTATTTTTGCATATTTCATACACTATGACATTCATGTCAAGGTCATAGTCAGTCTTGAAAATGTGTGTGTGTTTGAACAACTAAAGAGCAAAATATCAAGAGAGGTTGACTGGTCATTTTTTTGTTGACATTTAACTTCATCTTAAACTTTCATTACTTTATAAGTTTGATTTGATAATTTGCGGCTGGGGATTATGTCACCTTAGTGACAATGCTTGTTATTAATTGAGATAAGGTGGTCCCTTAAACATCTAGCAGTACTGGCATTGAGCAGGATTTAACTGAGGATAACCCCAACTCTAGGTAGACCTGACTTGGGTCTGTCATTAACACTCCCAGTATTGTTGTATGGGGTCCATAGGTTTGAGATGGTCTGTCTGGACACGCCGAAGTGCCTTGCCACCTCATGCTGATATGTCCCTCCTTGTAAACGGACGATTGCGTTGTGTCGTTCAGTTTCTGTCAGTCTTGGCGTTCTTTTGTCGTCTATTGTGGCTTAAAGCAATGCATGTGGAATACCATTGATGTGGCTTTTTAAAGCCTACAGTCATAGGCTTCAGCTCGGGGTGATACACAAATTCATGATGCACTTGCATTTCATGTAGGGTGCGTTTTAGTGATTCACTATAAACGTGAATGTAACGTTACGTTTTTGTTCAGCGTTTCCTTTTTTAATCGTTTTGTCATCAGCAACCATTTGTCCATGTTGGGATTCAGCATGGATTAGTTTGTTTCAAATATTTTCCTAAAATTCAAATTGTTCATCCGTCAAGTTTCTTTCTTTGATGAGTATATGTCTGAGGGTCAACCCATGACTCCCGATGGTGCCTTTAGATGTTACATTTTTCAAGCGTTAATGTGAACGTGTGACATCATCAGTTCTGGTTCATTTGTAGTCAACCTCATTGTAGTAAGAGATTTTGTAAAGATTTTTCTAGTCATCATCTATTTCATCATTTTTATTAATCTAACTGTAAATGTTTAGCCGTTTAAATTGAAAGTCATATAAAATTCTTTCTGCATAATTTTCTGAGCTACAGAACCTTGTAGAATATAGAACAAATTTTATGGATAACAACTTCTTTTATTCGTGAGTGCAACGTTTCGATACAGATATCTGTATCGAAACATTGCACTCACGAATAACAGAAGTTGTTATCCATAAAATTTGTTCTATATTGTACTTCCCAACTTCTAAAATGCCACTCAAAGAGGAACCTTGTAGGTCTGGGTTTATTTGTTTAAATTATGTTAAGTAATCAAATTTGCAAGAGTTTTATAAAACTCTGTATTTGATTGTTTCAGGGACCGGATATTTTGTGGTTACACCAGAAACATATCGACTCACATCTGATGATCAAAATGTAACCTTCAATACCTCATGGCTGCCATACCACCCGATGTATATACCAGTGTTCCCACAAATTCAGAATCTACCCTCCCAGCTTCAGCATCTGCACCACTTACAGCACTTACAACATCAACAGGAGCATCAGCAGCAGCAGCAGCAGCTCCACATGCGAGCTCCAATGAGATCCATCTCATGCCAGGCTGACATGAATGGCAAGGCACAAGCCCATCACTGTCCTGCAGGTGTGGGTAAAGACATCACTGAGAACAAAAAGGCAGGTAAGCAGCGACCTCGTAGCCAGAGCATGCGGGGCCTAAAGACAAGGGACAGAGACATGGATCGAAACAAGGCTACGGTCATTGAGAATGATGATGCACTTAAGCGTACCATATCGGTTAGGTACAAGACGGACAAGGTTAAAGCCATTAACAAGGACATGAACCTGAAGACCAGCAACATTAATCAAGACAAGGAAAAAGGTAACTATTGTCATAAATACTTGAACTTGTTTCACGGAATAATTGTCTGTTATTGTTTTAGTTTAAGCATATTTTTTCACAATTTGGAAAGGATCGGGGACAAGTTCCTACAACTTATAAAACCCCTCTCCAAGATATTTACAATAACTAATTACATCACAAGCAATTATTAGAAACAGAGACAGAGAAAGATTGACAGTCCAGGGGAAATGTTATAATGCAAAAGGTGTATAGAAAGAAGACTACTGGAATTGTCAAAGGGGCAAATTTGTAATTCACCCACTAACTTATCTGTTATTGAGGTACCTAGAGGCATGAGTGTGTATATTACTACAAATATTTGTTCATACTGCAATTGCGAGCAAGCCAAATGACGGAGATAATTTAACCGAAGGTACAGCAATATGTATTTGAGCAGCATTGTAAATGGGGGTTCTGTGACAGGTCCCCTGAGAGCATGATTTTGGGGCTAATTCAGCTCCCAGCAGTGGTTTACAAAGGAGGGTAGTGTGTCTCCTGAGACATCATTGGAGGTCTCTGGTTACTTGGTAATACAATGGTGTCCATAGCCATAAGTCGTGACACCATCACCAGCAATCCATCGTTTCGTATCCATGGGTGATAAGGATGTTTTGTTTAAGGTTATCCCGTAGATACTATGATATTCACTTCTCAACGCATTCATTTCCTGTTTGAATGAGCGTGTCTCGAACAGGGCCTCTTTGAATTGATCGTCCTAGACATGTGGAAAAACAAGGTTTCCTAGTCCTAGACATGTGGAAAAACTAGGTTTTCATACTGGCAAACAAGGATAAGACATGCGCAGAGAACGCGTTCACGAGAAGTAGGCGGTGCACAGCAATGAGCAAACCCATTTGGTTTGTGAAAGGTAAAGCAGATGTAGGTGAGTGCACGTGCATTGCATGACGATGAAATTGATTCCACGCGTAGGTGCACACGACTCTGACGTGGTTGGTGTAGCAAGTCCGTAATATTCGGATGTATAGATACGTATTTTGAGAGAATTAAACATGTCAAAGTTAGGTAAGCACGGTCAGATAATACATTCTCAGATCCGAGAAGTGGCATACAATGTTATTAAGTACATGGAGAAAGAATGTACATCTACGAAACAGGCACTCTTAAAAGCTAGCAATGCCAACGGTTTATCGGTCCCTTCACTGAGGCGCATCTGAGCAGAAGCTGTCGATCGTGATAATGGGGAGGGTAGTTTCATTAGCCCAAGCAGGTCGCAAAATAGTCCTGTGATTAAATACAAACTCGATGATTTCAACCAGTGCGCAATACGCCAGTTTGTGCAAAACTCATGTAGTGTGAAAACAACTGCCAACTCTTGACAATATCCATGAGATGGTCAAAACAGATCTCAATTATGCGGGTTCTCGAGAATGTTTACGGTTAGCTCTGAAGCAAATGGGATTTAGATGGTGCAAAACACAGTCAATCACAAGCTATTGATGGAAAGGAAAGATATAGTTGCAAAACGAATGCAATACTTACGAACAATTAAAAAATACCGAGCTGAAAACCGCTCAATCATCTTTATTGATGAAATGTGGTTACATGTGCACCACACTGTCCCACAATGTTGGCAACTGGAGGATGACATGGATATAGGTGGGGTTCGACCACCATCTGGGCCTGGACCTCGGCTGATAGTAGTGCATGCAGGTTCTGAGGACAGATTTGTTCCAAATGCACTGTTAATATTTGATGCTAAACTCAAAACGGCAGATTGACAAGTGCCCAACAACGCCAATAGGAAGGATGACATCAAAACTTGGCCAAAAAGGCACGATATTGCGTTCAACGACAAAATGCTCAAAGCCCAACTGTTGTTGCTTGCCAGATCTAACAAAGCCGGTCCCGCATATCGCATAGATACCATGCTGAAGAAGCATGGGCATGTTGTTCTACGGTTACCTCCATACCATGCAGATTTGAACCCAATTGAGTTGATTTGGGCCAATGTCAAAAATTATGTTGCCAGGCAAAGACATCGCTTCTGGCACAATATAAAGAGATAATGTCAGCACTCAGTTCCAAGGAATGGTCGGAATGCTGTAAGCATGTCCAAGCTATTGAAGATGGGTACTGGCAACGTGAAATCGCAGTTGAAGCAGAAATGGAAAACATCATTGTCGAACTTGGTCTTACAAGTGAATCAGATAGCGAATCGTACTGTGACGATTAGTGTTGTTATATCCTGCTGCCAGTATTAAGTTTACAGTGCACGGACACACAATAAACATCAACAAGATATTATTAAGGGATTGTTACATTGGTCCTATGACACCTTGGCATTACTTTCAGTTATTTCAAGCATGGCCAGGTAATGTTTTTGCCAGGCAGAAGAACGTTCTACTTTGCTTCATTACAATGTGATTAATTCACTTTTGGAAAATAAATTTGTTTGATTTTCAGCAAGTACACATGTGTATCTTACGCACACACAATTGCAGACAGATGGACAGTTGTTTTTCAGGTCACACCTCATATCAAAAGCAGATTCTGTAAAGGTATGAAACATAGTAACTTATGAGACAACCATTAATGGTTTTAAGAGACTATAAATTCCCATTAATTTCTTAATGTAAAATACAAACAAATGCACCTGCCACTGTCGAACTCAGTGTTCGCTGAGACAGGCCATGTGCTTCACCCATCGCACTAAACTTGATCACAGACAAGCTGGGGCCCCTTCGCTAACAATGGCAAGCGCCAGTGGGTGGTACTCATACATGCTAATACGGGTCAATTGTCAGGTCAATGCTCAACTTATCCTTGTTTGCCAGTAGTCCTGGACATGTGATAAAACTAGGTTTTCCTAGTTTCCATGTGGAAAAACCACCATGCCACCCAAAAAAGATTTGTCTCCAGACCAGATCCAAGAAATTAGCGCCCTTCGCGGTGTGCTCCCAGCAGCCAAGGTCAAGAAGAGCTTCGGTATTGGGTCCACAAGGCTCTGTGAGCTATGGCGAGAGCCATCCAACACAACCATATTGCCTGTCGGAGAACCATTGACTGACACCCTCTTGCCCGCTAGAGAGATAGCTCCAAATATGACGTCGCCCTCCAGCACACCATGCCTGCTATAGAACCGTTGACCGAAACCCTTTTGCCCACTAGGGAGATAGGTACAAATCCGACATCGTCCACCATCCAGGACTTCTACAACCGCCTGGGGAAGATCGAGGCCCGTGCAGAGCAAACCATGACTATCTTGTTGTCTCATGCGGAGCAAACCAGGACTAAGTTGGTCAACATCTTGTCTAGGCTGGACGAGAATGACGATTCCCCTCTCATCGAACTCCGCTAGGAAATAGAAAGTGTAGTGGAGGCACAAGAAGAGACCCGTCTGGATATCCAGAAGGTTGGGCAGGTCGTAGACTCGGCTCCAAAGTGGGCATGGATTACCCTAGCCACTGTGTTTATCTGGAAGGTAAACAAAATAGGAAGAGACAAAATAATAACTTATAGGTGTAGCAGGCCATTTCTTCCCCGGTCTATTCTTTCCCCGGGGAGAATCTGGCCTTGGCCAAACTTTCCCTGGGGAAGTTTTGTCCTAGGATATTCTTACCCCAGGGAAAGTTTGGGCTTGGATAAAGTCCCCCATTCCCCCTTGTTTAAACTAGGATATTTTGTTCTGTTTTCTATGAAAGGGGGGAGATTCTGGCCTAGCTAGGCCACTTCTTCCCCACTCTTGTTCTTGTATCAAAAGAGGAAATTTCTGGTCTCGCTAGGCCACTTCTTCACCACCCTTGTCCTTATATCAAAAGGAGGAGACTCTGGCCTAGCTAGGCCCCTTCTTCACCATCTTTGTTCATATATTAAAAGGGAGATATTCTGGCTTAGCTAGGCTACCCCTTCCCCACCCCTAACAGTAAATATTTCATAATATCAGTCAGGTTCTCTTGTCGTCAGTTTGAGGTGTTTAAGGTATTGTGATTTGGCATCAACGGCTCGGCATCCCACACATCATCTAATGTAGTAGTAACTGGCCTTCCATTTACGATAGATTCTATTTCGCAGAAAAGGGTTGAAAGACCGTTGTCATCTAGAAATTGAACACTTTTCAATCAAGAATTCATCACCTCTCTCACTGTTTGAATAAGCCTTTCCCAACTTCCACCCATGTGGGATGCTGCTGGTGGATTAAATGTCCAATCTATTTCCTTTCTGCTCATGAAATCTTCAATGTGCTTCATATTCCAGTCTTTAATTGCTTTTGACAGTTCAACTTTGGCGCCTCGGAAATTAGTTCCATTTTCCGAACGCAGCTTCTTTGGACAACGGCAATGTGATATACATCTCATCAGTCCATTGAGAAATGAATCTGTATCAAGACCGTCTAGTTTCTTGAGGTGTATAGCTCTGGTCATCAAACAGGAAAAGATACCATAGCGTATTACTTCTGACTGGCCCTGTTTCAGCAAGAACGGCCCAAAACAGTCTAGTCCCACACTAGTAAACGGCGGATGTCCAGGGCTCACTCTGTCGGAAGGTAGATCAGCCATCCGCTGAATATTTGGCAATTTTTGTAGCTTCTTGCACTGTATAACCAGCCAACACACCGTTTGATAGACAGGTCAACGAGAAGACAGCAACACTCGACCCCGGGCACCCCTTCTACATGGACTAGAAAAAAAATATGTGTATGTTTCTTTCTTTTTTTTGACTAGATAGAAGCTATACCCACTTGGTCTCTATGGGTACTTCGACTCTGGGAAGAGCAACTCGACTTCTCAATTGTCTTTCCTTTTCCGAAATGCTCAAGTGGCAAAATCTGCATCTCAAATCACTTCTCATATCTTGTAGCCATAGACAGGAATCGTCAGCATAGAGAGCAGCAGCAACAACGATCTGTTCTCCCCTTTGTATTTCGCTAGTGCAAACCTTTTGCATGTATCGATTCCCTCTGGAACGTTTGCTGTTTTTCGGTGTTCGTTGGATGGCGGTGCTGCCACTTCCATATCCTTGGGCCCGCCGTAGTTGGGCAAGGCGGAAATAGTGTGGATCCTGTCTGTGGGCTTCGTTTCTCTGGCGAGCTGTCGGAAGATACAACTCTTTCCTGCACTAGCAATGCTCTAACAAATGGTTGAGGAGGAGTTAGTAGCATAGGCACCAGCGGAAGCAGTTGTCGTCGTAGAGGTCCTCTATGTTCTCGAAACAGCCGTGGATGGCGATTTGGTTTGGCACTTAGAGTGGGAGTCGCTCCGTGGGTGTGTAGGGTGTCTCTTTGTTTTTTCAGAGAACTCATTTCTTGCTGCGAATGCAGTGGTCTATGGTGCTGTGCTTGCAAGTCGAGTTATCGTGCTCGAACAGGATAGGCACTGGTGGTAGAGTGGCGAGGCAGTCAGTGTATCGGTGGTGTCTGTCCTTGGTTTTCATACCGTCAGCGAGAACGAGTCGGAGTTCTTACATTTCAAAGTCAAGCAGGCGATGAAATTAAAAATTCCTACGAATTTAAGAAGAATGTGTATACATTTACAAGGTCGACCAATCAGAGGGCTTGCTCTTTACTGTACAAAACGTTTTTCTAATAAAATTATCAAGCATTGTCACGTGACCCTCGTCCTTGAAATTAATTTTATGTCAGTTATATGAGAAGTTTTTTTGTTGTTGTAAAATTGCATGATTGCCATGGAAATGCCCCAAAAGAGTGATGGTGCCGTTTCATTGCAAGTAATTTCATTAGAGGGAAATGTTTAGGTTTGTTTTCGTTGCAGAAATTTATATGTTAGGAACTGATCAGTGTCATCATAAAATATTGCTGGTTTTGCATTTTGTTCCTGTTGCTGATTCAAAGCAGAGAGTAATATGTTTTTGCCAGTTCAGTTTTGTAAGGCATGCCTAATGTAAAGGTAAATTTCGATCCCTGTTCTGACATGCACCAGACAGAGGAAGTAATTCTGATAAATTAATGTATTGTAACCTTATTTGAATCTCGTCTCATGTTTCAGGAGAGAAGGAGAAAATGTCTTTGTTCTCTAAAATATTTGGCCGGAACAAGAAGAAGAATGTAGGAACTCCTCCAGCAGCTGTTGTGAAGGAAGTAGAGTATGCAACATTCTCTGCACAGTTCCCTCCTCCTGAGTGGCATTGGTATCAGCAACAAGTGGAGAAACAGAAACGCACAGAAGAATGGGTTAGTCAGCAGATAGCCAAGTCATGTACCCTGCAATATCTACACAACATGGTGCCACCAGACAGCACAGTGAATACTGTCCACCAGACAGAGGCCAGGCCAACAGCAGCAACTAATGGGAGTCAGGCTATCTCCAGGCCACACTACAAACAGCAAGAAAACAACATCTCCAATAGAAAAGTACATGGACGACGTCATGGAACAAAGTCTAAAAAAGATAAAACAAATGCTAATGAACAAAATCTGAGAGTTAGTGATGCTGTGTTGTTTGTCAGTACTAATCATGAAGTGACCATGCCCACAGTATCACTGTCCCCTGTACAAGCAGTGGATGATGACATTTATCAGTCTGTCATTGGCAGTAAGTCTGCTGGACCACGACATTCAACTCCACGATTCTATGACACCATTCCCTTACATCGAGATGTTGGGGGCTACCGTGAGCATATTCTTAATAATCAAGATGATATAGATCAATGTTCTTACCATCCTCATCATCAAAGACGTCCTCATCGTTCAAGAAGGAAGGGGGATCATAGCAGTTTAGGCAACTGTGATAATCAACATCAAAGTGACATAAGTTTTGAGTATAAAGGCAGAATGCCCATAAAAAATTCTGTCTTTGTCCAATCTAGAGACAGTGGTGTCAACTGTATTGGGCTGTCTACAAGTACTAAAAACAATGATCATCAAAGTGTTCAGCTGACATCTCAGACACCAGATCCAGTAATAGTTAGAAATAAGTTGGATAATTTGGAGGAAGAAACACAGACTGCTGAGCATGAGTTTGTGCATCTCAATAATACGATGACATCAGAGTACCAAGCAGAGTTTGGCAAACCTTCTATGAACAACAACTGTTATGATAGTTCTGTAAATGAGGAAAATGGGGGTATGCAAATAGTATGTGAAGCTGAAATCAATCGCGAACCAATACCTGAAATTGTTCTTGACACAGAGCCTCACAGAGTGATAAGTTGTCAAGATGTAGCTGAGCCTGCTAGTAACAGTGGCAGTCGAGATGCTCTCAACAGTGAGAAGAGCTATGACACAGTAGTAGCTGTCAAGAAGAGCGAGAATACCTCTCAAAGTAATGACAAGAAATCTGATACTCTCAGTGGCGATGTGCGTGAGCTTAGTCTTGTGGATAGTGGATTCAGCTCACCAAGAAATGTTAATATAGGTGCATTTGAACCTTCTAAACAGTCCAGCAATATATCTGAAGGGTGCTCTGACATAAAGAATCATAAACAGTACATGAAAACCCAACCTCAGGTCCCTCATAATTCTCCGAAAGAAAAGTGTCCAATAAATGTAGAACACCGTCACAAACACTCCACTCACATGCTCAACAATCACAGACACTCAAGAGGTTACAAGTATGACAATGAAGACTGTGGACAGAATAGAGTCTCTAAAGATCTCCATGTATTTCAGCAGCAGCAACTTACTTCCAAACGGTTTGGCCTGAACGGAGAGTTCGAAGTAGTTGGTGTTGTCTGAAACTGGAATTTTGCATCATTCCGCTGTTGACTTGTACTTGACTTTTAAAGTGCATATATCATTTCTGAAATCACTCTAACCATGTTTTAAAAGAGTTTATCGTTTTAGCATTTTTTGCGTTTTTAGGTTTAAAGTCAGCTTAAAAGCCATAGCCAGCATAATGTAGGATATGCTAAGAGTATCAGGGTCCCGTTCCTCAAAGCGATCGTCGCTAAGGTGATCGTAACTCCCATACTTTAACATAGACTTACGACAGTCGTAGCGCTACGATCGCTTTGAGGAACAGGGCCCAGGTCTCCTACATCTGGCCTAGGAAAACACCCAGCAGGATTTTGCTGCTTCATTTTTCTTTATTCAACTGGGTTGGAATTCACTGACACTATATGGTATGTGATTGTCACTGTTCCATGGTTTTAAACACTATAATTCCCTTTGTTCATGTGTAAACTGACAAGGTTCTTACATTATGTCACTTTGAAAGTGATAATGAACATGCTGGTACATTTGTGTGTATAGTGGCAATTGATGTGTTTACCAATGAGAAGGTTGCTGTAGCATTGTTTGTTAACCTTTTGAATAAGTCATGTACACTCCTGTCATGTAGGTATGTCAGTATGCTCACCTGTTAAAGGGCATTTAGTATCCATAAATCTTTTTTAATTTCAGTGGTGATCTAAACTGTTAGAATTCACAGTAGAACATCACTGCTATTATTGTGTGCATCATTTATGAGTTCTGTTTCAAGGCAGACTACTTTTGTTTTATGTTTTGATCACAAGCATCATGTTTTGTTTTCTTATTCAGAGGTTGAAAAAGCTTGGTATGCCAGCTGCATACCAATATAAAAATCATAGATTAAATTTACCCTGGAGAAGAAATATCACTGGCGACTTCTTAAACACTTGCAGCCAGATTTTAATGAGACCATGAGGTTGAGATCAGTGCCCCATTAGGACAATCAGAGTCAATATTGTTCCCACATCCAATTACCATCCATCTCAAGATTAATTTTCTTTATGTCAATCAATCAATCAATCACATCCACTCGTCTCTATTATTGCAAAGAGAGTCTGTGTTCATGACACTTCTCTTCAGTCTCTATGCAAATTGCAAATGTTCAACCACAAACTCAACTTTATAAGCTAATAATGTGTTAAAGGCATTTCATGAGGTTATTGCCACAGAGTGATAGTCATTTTGTACAGTTGGGTTGTTTCAAATTTTTCATTGGTAAAGGAATGTGATATAAATCTAATAATTTCTTCTTCTTTCTTTGAGTGGCATTTTAGAAGTTGGGAAGCACAATATAGAACAAACTTTATGGATAACAACTTCTTTTTATTCGTGAGTGCGACGTTTCGATACAGATTCTTGTACCGTTGTCAAGCATAATGGAACATGAAGAAGGGAGCAGTATATATATACTGGTTGTAACAATGTAAAAAAGAAAACAACATAATTAACATAATTGGCTAGGCAGAAAGCTAATGAAGCCAGAGAGTAGACAAAGGACAGGCGTAGAAGCCAATGATGTACAAATAATAATGAGATGTTTATACAGCAGAGTTTATACAGTAGATTGGGCTTGGTGGATGAGTGCATCATAAGCGGATGGAATGATAATAATGCTTGAAATTGTTTTTGAAATTTATCACTGCAGTCATTTGATACCGTTATGTACCATATAAATTAACAGGGCTTGATACTTTGCATATGTATAGTGCCCTGAAATCATCATCTTTAGATATGTTGACATTATCTTCCTGTTGATGTGACTAAAATACATTTTCAACATATGAGGAAAGAGCATAAAAAGAGATCAGCTTATTCAAAGGATGTGTCTTTGTTTGCACATTCTGGTTTGCACTTGTGCTTTTTTATTTGTCACAGTGAAAGTCTTCATGCTATTCCAGGCAGAATGTGGGTTATTGTTTGAAACTTAAGTTTCAGTTTTATCCCCCGCCGCGCGTTTAGCACGAAGCGGGGGATATAGTATTACTATTAGGCTCCGTCCGTCCGTCTGAATTGGAATATCTTAAGAACCGTTGACTAGATTATTTTCATATTTGGTACCTAGGTTCATCACAGTATAAGAAAGGTCCCAGTCAGGTTTGGTGACATTGACCTTAATTTCAAGGTCACAAGGTGACTTTAACGTTTTACCCTTGTCAGCGAGATATCTCAAGAACCGTTCTCTAGATTTTCTTCACATTCAACACCAAGCTTTATCTAAGGAAGGTGCAGGGCCCAATTGATTTCGGTGACCTTCACTTAATTTTCAAGGTCACAGTGACACTTTGAAGATTTCACCATGTTAAATTGCCTGTTAAGATAGTCAGCAAGATATCGCCAAAAACTTTCTCTGGATTTTTTTCATATTTGACACCAAGCTTCATTTAATGAAGGCGCAGGGCCCAGTCAATTTTGGTGACCTTCACATAATTTTCAAGGTCACTGCGACTCTTTGAAGATATCAGCATGTTAACCTGAAGTCACTGGATTTTCTTCATAGATTTTCAAGACTTCCCTTGAATATTTTTCAATAAGCAATTTCTTTAGTACCATTTTTGCATATTTCATACACTATGACATTCATGTCAAGGTCAAAGTCAGTCTTGAAAATATTTGTGTGTTTGAACAACTAAAGAGAGGTTGACTGGTCATTTTTTTGTTGACATTTAACTTCATCTTAAACTTTCATTACTTTTTAAGTTTGATTTGATAATTTGCGGCAGGGGATTATGTCACCTTAGTGACAATGCTTGTTTTCTTTGTGATTTCCCTTGTTATATATGTGATGTCCTTTTGCATGGATATGACTTTCTTTGTGTTGTTTGCTCAAAAAGCTTGATAATCTTATTAAAATAGATCTCATGCATCTTCATAATTCGTCAGATGATCAAAATAAGTTTGGTAAACAACTTCAACGTAATGAATAGTTATATCAGGTGAGCAAAATGAAGCTTTTTTAACTTTGACGATTTTAATAGATAAATCACTTTCCATTTTCATCTGTGTGAGGTAACCTTTTCTGTGTTGTTTTGGACGGACTAGTTTTGAGCTCACTTGACTAAATTTCAAGTGAGTATATGCAACGGACTGTTTGCCACACAGTTTGCTGTCATGGCATGCACAATATTCACCGTATTGGTATTTGGTTTGGGGAAAGACATGAAAATATAAAGTTTTTGTGAACTTAAGAGAAACTGAAATGATTTGTTGAAACTGTAAATCTTTCGAAAACGTTTTATTGCCCACCATTCATTCTTACAGATTACATTGTTTCATATATCTATCTATTGGTCATGTTTTTTTATGCCATGATTTATTGATTTTCAATGTTGACAGCAAGTTATTTTGAATGTTAACATATATTATACATATCCAGAAACCATGCACTGTATTTTACATTTTTTACAGGAAAGCACATAATATTAGTTTTACATAAGTTGGGAGATTTTGTAACCTATGCTTGTCCTCAGTGGTGACTAACTAGATCTGGTGTTCAAGGTTGCTTACTGGCCGGTTCATTGGGAGTCATTTACTCGTTTTTTTAAGGCTGCCTTCATATAGCTTAATTATGAATGAGTGCTGTATTAACAACAACAGACATACAGAATGTTTACCAGGATCACAATATTTTGTTGCGTCTTTAATGTTTGCAGAAGAAATAGTTTCTTTATGATATTTCTACAGAAAGAAATGACCCTGGGAAAAATGGCTGAGTAGGTATGATAATCACTGTAAAATGTAAATGTAGTCATGTTTGTTGAGGTTTGTGACATGACATTCAACTTCCTGCGTGTCCTGCCGAGATTGGAGGGTTACAAACACTGGGCAAATCTAAACTCTCTCACTTGCTCCATGTTTCAGGCTGCATGCTCTCAGATGTAATATGCAGTTTCTGAGTTTTTGGATTACGTTCACTTTGTTTTATATTGCCATTCCCTGATGTATTTTTAATATATGACAGCCTTTTTGTTGCAGTCAGTCAGTTTTCATTGGTACTCCTGTAGTTGTTTAAATGAGATTTCCACTTAATGAAATATACGACTTCCTCCTCCACATTGATCTTACAAAGCACAAAATGTGCCCCTTCACCCTAAGATCTAGTCTGTCGTACAGACCCTGAAGCAAATATATCCAAGAAAGCCCACGCAAGTCTAGAAAATGGGGTTAGTCTACCTAAGATCCTTTAGGTTTGGTTACCAACCAGACTTAAGTTCCTCATTTTCCCTTGCTTTCCTTGGCACAGCAGCTGACCCCTGATGTACTTGTGAACTACATGTATAAAAATGTTCACATTTACATAGTTACATCAATTTGTAATGTGTGGCAACATTCCCAACAGTGATATGTCTCACAGCATGATTACAATGCACTGAAGTCCTTCCAAGTAGCCTCCTCCTCCCTGGAGAACAATACCGTCATACATGTCTGCTTATCCATGTTCATCATCAAAGAATAGGGTACACCTACACATCGAAAACAACATTGCTTTCCAAATATCCACGTACCAAGTGAAAGGTGGATATCATGGGTTTACTGTTGGTATTTACAGTTGAAAACTTTAGTGATGGTTTCCAGTTGAAGGTGTGGAAGTAAAAGGTAAACTAACACTGTACATATCCACTGTCTGAAACTCAATGGAAACTATAAAATGAACTAACCTCAAACAAGACAGTGAGTTTTAGTTAGGTGCTGAGATAAGAATGGAAACCATCAAAATGTACAAATCATCTCTTACTGCTGAATTAAGGTTTGGTCTGGCAAACTTCAAAGTGACTACATATAGTCAGTGGTGTATGAGAAAAAACAACCCACACTACAAAAAATTAAACGTAATAGGTTGAAAAGTGTTTGGCAACACAAGTTTTCTAAATAACAAATCTTACTGTCAGTATCATTGAAGCAGCACCTATAATTGTTTCAAGTTGTCTGCACCATGCATGCATGGAGCATTGTCTTTACTTGACTGTGCCCCCAGTCCACAGATATCTTAAGTGCTTCTCAGGCCCTCAACAGTGCTTGTGCATACGGTCAAAGAAAAAACAAACCGCATGGAGCATATATATTATTGAGCTTGTGTACTACTTGTCCACAGAAGCATTACTGCATGAAACTTTGCATATGAGATGATTGAAAATTGTGTACATGCCATATTTACTTTGAAGCCTGCAGTGTTGTTGACAAAATATATTTCATGGTGATGTCTAGTTAGTTCCAGACACCTAAATTCAGCCTTGTGTTTTGATATTCCGGGTGTCCCGTAACATGCAACCACACTGGTACTGGACTGTCAAGCAAGTGTTCATCATGCAACATGGGGGATTCAGTAGCTTCAGCTTTGGTGTAATAGGTAGCAACACAGTTTCATTTGTTCAGGGCATTGAAATCAACAATTAAATGCTTTGTAAATAAACGGGAGGACAATAAATTAAGAAAATAAACAACAAAACCACATTCATGATTGTCTAGAAGTTTGAAATTATGTGACGTAAATCAATGTGTTTTAGATTTGTCCTTGCATATGGAATAAATCACACAATTTTTAAAGTGAAGAAGGGGCCGTGAGTAGCCTAGTGGTTAAAGTGTTTGCTCGTCACACCAAAGACCTGGGTTCGATTCACCACATGGCTACAACGTGTGAAAAATATATTCCATTTAGTATATTAGGCGAAGTAGTGATGAATCTTTTATGACTGGATCACTGAATGTTGGGGATGACACCAGGAGTTCATAAAAAGTGTAAGAAACCTCTTGTGTGGGTTGTCATATGAGTGAAATATTCTCAAGCACGACGTTAAACCCAATTTCACCTCACCTCTTGTGTGGGAAACTTTTATTGTATTATGAAGCAACACAGTGAGATTCTCATAACATGTTATATTTGGGATTACACTTTCTTAGTAAAGTACAGATTCTAGTACTTTTGGGATTGAGTCCCATCCGGGGATTCGAACCCACACCCTCAGAGTCAGGCACCTAATCGCCAGCACACAAAGTCAGACGCCTAGACCGCTCAGCCACTGTGGCTTCCACAAAAATGGAAGTCGGACAACTGGCAGTCTAGACTGTGGACTTTGTGTAACCCATGTTTCTAAAATGGCATTGTGTATTTCATAGTGAGATTCTCATTGAAAATTAATTTTGAATGTGTTCATGAAATCAGAAGGCATCATCTTTCCCAACCCCTGGCTGCAAGGAGTGTACAGTGAAAGACTGGATGTGTCAAACTTATCAAGATCAGATAGCTGACGAATCATTTACAAAAACTGTCATGTAGTGTAGTTGTATCATGTAACACTTTCCTCCAGTGTTGACACCAACAGTAAAACATATTGACATGTTCCACTTCTATACTGTGTAGGATGAAGATGTTTTGTTAATTTGTACATATATTGCTTGGACATACAGATTACCAAGATGTCTGAATATTTAGTCCTCTAAATTCACAAACATATGTTAACTTGTCTATAATGCCTGATTAACTTATTGTTGCTGGACATCAGTGATAAAAATGTGTATCATATCCATCTACTCCATCAGCTAAATGATTTGTTGTCTTGGGAATGAAATGGGGAACATATAAGTAAAGTTATGTGATGGGTCTCCTGTGATGCCAGCTCACATGCATTGTTGTCTTCTTACACACTTTCTGTACAAGTAAAAGTAATGGCTATTGTTTACAACTAAGTCTGTTTCTATTTTCATGTCTTTGTTGATTAAGTTATTGTTGTATATTTTGTATATTTTGTATAATTTATTCTCTGTATATATGTCGTATATTGTAACTTAATTACAAAACCCTCTATGTGTGAACAGTAATGATTAAAATGTTTCTTCCTTGTAACTGTGTCACATGTTTAGGTTTTCTGAAAATCAAGTGAGCTTGCTGTGACCTGTTTGTTGTTTTTATTTAGAAACAACTGATCATTGAACTTAAACAAATAACATTTGTTGTCACCATCAATATTTATCCAAGAGGTTCCAGTTGCTGACTTGGGTATCACATTAGCAAAACATGTTACACCTATGCTTATCAATCGAAATTATTTGTTCAAATGTCGAAAATGTAATGAAACTTGGTTTATTGGTATGCAGTTTGTTCGTGCACACAGCACATTTCTTTTGACAATACTTTAAAGGTTAAATTTTTAAACTTATCCTATCTCACAGTGCACTTCTCTCTCTTCAATCATGGCGTGGAAGCGTGCTGTAGACTAAGTTGAATCAAATCTTCTGGCCTCTCTCCCACCCAATCGTTCCCCACCGCTCCCATTGCTGGACACATCAATCAACCCTATAAAGCATGCTAAGCTCTCTGGACGGTCACATGACATCCCACTACTGTCATTCTCTTTCTTGTCACCCACAGGTAGGGGTACAATGTGTGAAGCCCATTTCTGGTGCCCCTGCTGTGATGTTGCTGGAATATTGCTAAAAGCGGCTTAAAACTCAGTCAGTCAGTCAGTCACCCACAGGTGTAGACCTGTATAGAATAGGCCTTGTCTGCCACTCATCTTGTCTCTCATTATGGGAAAGAAAGATCGTTCTACTCGGAAGAGGAAATACTGTGACAGGTGTAGAAGTAACTTTTCTGCTGCGGATCCCCATACTTTATGCGTTTATTGCATCGGCTGGTGCGATTGGTCTCGTCGGTGCTCTTACTGTGCTATCTTAGATGATGATGCGTTTACTGCCTATTGGGAGAGTTGGTAGCAGGGGAGTGGCAGACAGGGATCGTCCATCTGAGGGTCCCTCATCATTGAAACAATCTAAACGGGATCGCCCATATAAATCAGCTCGGCGTTCTTCACAATCAGTAGTGGAGGATTT